ACTTTTTTTTTTGTTTTTTGGAGACAGGGTTTCTCTGTATTGTTTTGGAGACTGTCGTGGAACTCGATCGGTAGACCAGGTTTGGTCTTGAACTCACAGAGATCTGCCCGCCTCTGCCTCCCGAGTGCTGGGATTAAAGGCGTGCACCACCACCACCTGGCACGACAGACTTTTTATAGTGGATGTGTCTAGTTCCATGCTATTTCCAGCAAAAGCTGCTTTTGTTTGAATGGAAAAAAGGTAAGCTATGCTATCACAGCTAAATAAGACATTTGTTTGTTAAAAGCAAACAAACAGGCACACAAAAAACGAGCTGTGGAGGTTAGTACAGTTTTCATTAGATACTGAGTGAGATATTATATGTTGACTCATAATGATGTTGTGGAACATTTGTTTAACTATACAAAGATATGTTGCATTTGTTTAAATATGTAAAGATGTATTGCTGCTTTACCTTGCCTGCCTAAGGCACCTGAGTGTTTTAATAAAATGGCCAATATTGAGGGATGAAGTATATGGGGGACTTCCGGTGAGGGGAGAGCAAATAGGAGGAGCTCAGGGGAAGAAAGCAAAAGAGAAGGAGACAGAGGGAGAGGGGGAGGGAGACACCAGGGGACAGACAGACAGACAGACAGACATGGGGGAAGCAGGGAAGTAGGACATACAGACTGAAAGAAAGGGAAAAGCACCAAGACAAAATGTAGATGAAGAGGAATGGGTTAAACTAAGGTATGAGCTGGAGGGACAAGCATAGGCTAAAGCCTAAGCTTCCATGACTAACAGTAAGTCTCCATGTCTTTATTTGGGAGCTGGTTCATAATTAACAGTAAGTCTCCATGTCTTTATTTGGGAGCTGGTTCATAATTAACAGTAAGTCTCCATGTCTTTATTTGGGAGCTGGTTTGCAGCCTAAAGAAAATACCAACTACATACAACTTTGTATGACACGTAAAGAAGGTATTGAAACCCCAAAGCATTTTATCCCAACCACAGTGATCAAAACATACAGAGAAATCAGTAAGTTAGGAGTGTGAGGCACCTCAGTTAGGTTTCTAGTTGCTGTAATAAAACACCATGGCCACAAGGAACTTGGGGAGGAAGAGATTAGTTCAGATCCTAGCTTGCATAGGTCCTTCATCAAAGACAGTCGCACGGACTAAAGTAGAAGCAACAGCAGGGCACTGCTTCCGGCCTTCCTCCTCCTCAGAGCCTGCTCAGCAGGCTTCCTTATACAACCTAGGAACACCTGCCCTAAGGAGACACCACCCACAGTGGGCGGTACCCTCTCACGTCAATCACTCACTAAGAAAATGTCCCACAGGCTTGCCTGGGTTAGTCTGGTGGGAATATGTTCTCAGTTGATGTCCTTCTCAAATGACTCTAGCTTACTTCAAGTTGACAAAAGACTAACCAGGACAAAAGATTGTCAAAACTGCCAGCTTACTGGGAGGTTCACATCTCCCAAAACTTGGCAAGTTGACCAGCTGCAAACCTATAGCTTCATAGAGAATTTGAATTATAAACAATTAATAAACTATTAAAAAGAAACTAGACATTCTTTCCAAAACAATACAGAACATTTAAATTTTTTATTGCATATTAGGCCATGAAGAAAATCTCAGTCAAGTCCAAATATTGTATGCAATCGCACTCCCTGATCATCAAGCAAGAAAACTGATGTCAAGAACAAATATAAAGTCTAATGACCCAGAGAGGGACTATTTTAATAATCTCAGAAAAAGAGCTGCAAAATAAGGTATGTCTGCTTGTGTGGTTTTGGCTATGTCACTAAACCAAATGAAACACAGTATACATTATACAATGGTTCATAAAGCAATTGAATTTTATGTATTTAAAAGAAAATTCACCTATGTATGCACACACATATATGTATATTAAATACATAAATAAGCTTCCTGAAAGAATGCACAAGAAACTGTTGACAGTGACAGTAGGTGCCTTGAGAGAGGGGAGGTACAGGGCAGAGGCAGAAAGCAGATTTTGTAAGCATTTTTAAGCCACACATAATTAATGAGGTACTCAGTGTTCATAGCTATATATTCCTTACAACTCCCCATTGAGTATTTTTTTAAAAATATATTAAATAGCCATGAGGAAACTTTAATAAGTTCTAAATGGTATACACAGAGTAGGCTGCGTAGTACTGGATTTTTCATTCCACCTAAAGAAATGCAAACAAGGAGAGCGTTTTTTTATTATTCTATTATAAAAAATAATCGCCATTACAAAATACAAATCTTCTAAGTTATTCTAAGAGCATTCCTTTGACACATGCATAAATGGTCTTAAGAGTGGAAAAAACGTTTTTAAAACCAGGGAATTAAAACACAGCATTTTAAAATGATGACGCGCAAATGAGTTAAGCCTACCTACTAACGAAGGCGTCTGTCAAGTTGGAGTAAAAGAAAATCCAATTTTGTGTTGTTTACATAAAGAATGCTTAAAAAGACTGGTATCTAGTGAGAGCTAATCAATAGAAAATAACAGTGATATGGCTTGAATGTGTATGCATACAGAAATGGAGCAGGGGTCACCATCCTAACATCAGACGAAGTGACTGGTTAGGACTTAAGTACGGTGTCAAACCTGTGATTTGTTATAAAGATACATATGCATATGTACCTGGACAACTGCATAGGAAAGATATTTTCTGAAACAGTCTGGACATCTATGTGTATCTGTTCATTATTTAAACTGTAATATTTCTGATCGTCATCAGCCTAGCTCCTTCACCTGCGTGTACTGTGCAAACACCCCTCTCCAACAACGCACCACGCTGCCTGAGGACCCTCTTGACCCGACCCCCACAAAAGGCTGCGTGTAATCCCACCTCTGGAGGACAGCATGAATTCCCCCCACCCTTGGTAACAACCAGATTCAGACAGTTTCTTTCCAATCCAAGTGTTTCCCCCAACACGTCGGGGAATGAAGGATAGAAGAATCCATCTGAACTAAACTGGTTTGGGCTCGTGCACAGTGAGGGAAGCCTGTGTTCTTTGGCTTGCTTTCATCGATGCACTAGTTAGCATTGATTGTCAAACTGACACAGCCTAGAGTCGTCCAGGAGAAACACCTGGACTGAGGAACTTCCCAGAGCAGAGTGGCCCATGGCATGTCTGTGGGGGGCATTGTCTTGATTAGTGATTGATGTAGGAGGGCCCAGCACGCTGTAGACAGCACCATCCCTCAGTGGCCTTGGGTTACGTCAGAAAGCGTGACCCAAGGAGCAAGCCAGTGGGCAGTGGTCCTCAAGGGTCCCGCCTCTTTCCACACCCAGCTTGCCTTTGCTAAGAGTGTTTTATCACAGCAGCAGAGAGGAAACTAACACAGTCACATCTCTATGGAGTCCAAGCAGGGTCCTCAACGCAGGAAACTTTCAAGCATGCCCTGTCTGCCTCACACCCCGATTCTCACTGGTGGTTTTTCTCTCAAGGGGCTTTAAGAAATGAGAGTCACCATGGACTACTTGGTGATAGAATCTCTCTTGAGAAATCATGGAAATGGCACAACAAGAAAACAGAATCCAACTCTTTACAGGGTCTATTTGGGAGCAGATTCCTGGACTGAGCGACCTGGCATTTTTCTAAACGGATTACACTGAAAGTTAGCTGGCCACACACACAAATGTCTGCTAGCCGATGGTCTTTATCTGTCACAGCAAGGACTGCTGCTTCTGTCCTGTCAAAGGGACTTCTGCTTCCTTGGGACACAAGTGTGGGTGGCCGTTGCAAAACCGAGCTCATCAAGCTCTCCCAGCAAAGCCGGGAGATGCCTGCACTTAAGTAGCATCCTTCACCAATCTGCCTAGAAGACCATGGCTTGGAATGGAGGGGAGAGGGGTGCCGACACCACGTGTGCTACAAACATGTTTCTGGTGCAGCCCTGGGAAGAGCATCGATTTTGGTCAGTGCGATCAGATTTGTTGTTAATGAGGATCAGGCCACGGCAGGGAAGATTGCTGCTGCCTGCAGAAACTGCCTCTTGTTCTGCACGTCACTTTACTGGTCCGTGACCTGCTTCTAGGGGTGATAAGTATGTGACAGGCTTTTTGTGTGCCTGTCCAGTGAAATATATTGTTCCTTACAGCAAAATGAAACTGTGTGTTGGGACTCTGTACAGTGTATCGGTGAACACTGTCTCAGCTATTGGCTAGAATTAATCCTGTTACAAGGCTCTTTATATCTGACAAATAAAATAAAACAAGACCCACACTTGCTTTTTGAGGGAATGGTTTCTGAGTCTCTAACAGATTTTTTGCCCCACCCAGTCTCCCTGTCTCTGAATTTACAAGCTCAATGCTGGCGCAAGAAGTCAAGTTGTTTTTGAACCTCATGTCTGAAGAGTTTATGATCTAAATTCCTTAGATCCTTCTTCCTCAAAATTGCAGACATTGAGAGCTAATATAAATGGTTAGTGTAAGAAGACTCCATCAGACATCCTCCTAATGTTGGTGAAGAATGGCAGCAAGAGCCCAACAGATAGGGTGTCTGTGGGCACAGACAGACATGGGTGTCTGTGGGCATGGATAGACAGGGTGTCTGTGGACATGGATAGACAGGGTGTCTGTGGGCATGGATAGACAGGGTGTCTGTGGGCACGGAGAGACAGGGTGTCTGTGGGCACAGATAGACAGGGGTGTCTGTGGGCACAGATAGACAGGGTGTCTGTGGGCATGGATAGACAGGGGTGTCTGTGGGCATGGATAGACAGGGTGTCTGTGGGCATGGATAGACAGGGGTGTCTGTGGGCATGGATAGACAGGGTGTCTGTGGGCATGGATAGACAGGGTGTCTGTGGGCATGGATAGATAGGGTTTTCTGTGGGCACAGATAGACAGGGGTGTCTTTGGGCACAAGGGAGAAAGGAGTGAGAAGCATTGGCATCGAAAAGACCAGGAGAACCAAAAACATTAAATCAAGAACAGGAGTTTTTCATCTTTTCACAGAAAAGAATTTCACAGAATCCAGGAAAGAATGAACCTGGGAATTGATAGGCACTGGCTGTGACTGGCAGCCAGATCGAGAAGTCCCAGGATGTGCCTTTGTCACTCACGCCATGTAAAACTCTGCACATCATGGCAGAGAGGAGACCTGGAAATGGAGGGTAGCAATTCCAAACTCAACAGTCCGGCCAAGAGTTTTGATGAGTAGGTTTCCATGAACAAAAGCATGATCCCATGTTAGGATTGATATTTCAAATAAAGGGCGGGGGGGAGGGAAATCAGGCACTGTGTAGATCTTGCCAGGATAAAGCCTGACAACAGAGCCCTCTGGATTGGAGTTTTCTACGCTCTCTTGTCTAGGGACGGACTATTTGTGGAGTTAGGATCAAGTGCGTTCTGATTATCCACATCCCTGCTCATGCTCCCACTGCAACCCTGAGGGATCCCGGGATCACGACCTCCGCAGATCAGCAGACAGGTGAGTCTGTGGGCACAGACAGGAGAAATGATGCCCACCCTGTGTGACTCTTCATCCGTCAATACATTCTGACTCATCCGCAGTCAACTCCGAATTCACCAGGAGTTCTCATTTCCTCTCCCAGGTCTTTAATTGTGCTTTACTGGAGTCCTCCTCAGTCAAAATGGCAGACTTAACAGGGAACACACGTGCCTAGTGGTGACAATGTCTCCAATCCAAGAAGCCCTTGCCAAGACCACAGAATTTTCCCAAGAAGCCCTTAAATGCTGTCTCCTAAATTGCAATGACTTTTTCTGGACTTTATCTTATGTCCCTGTGTAATCTCGCAAAGAAAGAAAGCACGATTATGTCCAGCCCTGTGTTCCTTGTATCCCGTAAGCCCTAAGAAACTCCCTGGGTTGCCTTGTCAATGGGTCAGAGCCACGGGCTTATATGTGACATCTTATAAAATGCAGAGATCCGCCAGACTGGACCTGCTTCGTAGGACTCTTCTGTCATCCCTGCTGCAGAAGCCAGCCCGGCATGCCTGAACCAGCCTGGCATCTCCCTGTTGTTCCATGGGATATGATCCTTTCTTCTTATACGTACCAAGGCATCCAAGATTCTTCTCAGTTACTGCCCATCAACTCCCATCAGCATGGTGCCATCAAATCTAGCTTACCTAATGCATTGTGGAATAAAGCCTGAAGTTTTGTAAACCAAAATATCAACAGCGTCGAACTATTCCCACCAGACAGAAGCAGGCCCGGCTGTCTCTACTGAACGGGATAGAGAGGGAGCCAGCAAGTATCAGAGGTAGAATCAGGCTTGCTGTCTTCCGACATTTCTTGTTGTTAGCAGTCTTTAGTTTCTCTTTCTGTCGCTCTGGAACCCAGGGCTCCACACATGCAATGTCAGGGATCTACTACTGAGCAACTCTCCCGCCCCTAGTCTTTAATTCTTGGAATTTTTTGTTTGTTTGCTGGAAGAGTTGAGGAGACAGTACAGCAGTTTCCCATAATTCTCCTGGCACTCCCATATTTGTATGGAACATTTGCTATAACTAATGAGCCAATATTGACACACTATCAATAAATACAGTCCACGGTTCATCGAGGCAACTACTATCCTTTTTCTGTTCCAATACGCCACCCAGAATACCACACTGAATTTATCTTTGCTTAGACTGCATGTCGTTACAAAAATGTCCCAGATTCTCCTTGTTCCTAAAACTCCTGCGACTGTGAGTGATGGCCAGGTTCTTTGTACAGGTCCTCCACCGGAGTGTGTTTGATGTTTTTCTCCCAGCTAGGATGGAGACATAGAATCCCGGGGGACGATCACAAGTGCAGATTATCCTTTTTATCATATCCTACCCAGGGCATGAATGATCAAGACTGACGACTCTCAATAACGGCTTTGGTAACCTGGTTGAAGCACCGTGTGCCACGTGTCCCCACCGGACAGCTATGAACCCTGACTTCCTATTCTGCACTCTCTGAGAAGTGATCATCACACAGCTTGCAGGCTGGCCTTGGAGAATCTGAAGTAACAAATGACACCAACCAGCTCACTCTCCCGCCTTAGGAAGCTAGAGGTTTTCATCATCTTCCATGCCGCCCATCCCATTTGTCATAATAGATTATCCCCCACTCCACGTCTCTAGTTCATGAGCTTCTAACTGAGTCTTGGGTGGGAGCCTGATTGGCCAGCTCAAGCTACATGCCCCCACTTTAGGCCAGCGGACAAGAAAGATGCCCCTCATCTGCTTAACTGAGGGAGCAGTTACTCCCTCAGAGATTAGCAGAGTTGGGTGTGGCTCCCTAAATCTGAAAGGAGGAGCCATGTACTGCAGAGTGGTCCAGATGGCAAAAGTCTGTGACAGTAGCTCTACCTTGGAAGTATGACAGAGAGATCTCCAGAATTCTCCCCAAGCGTTCCTGAAGCTTGTATCACTCTAGAAGAATCCTTAAGTCTCATTGCTTCACCTGTAAAACCATCCCAAGATGAGCCTAGCAGGCTTCACATGGGGATTAAGTTCAATAATATGTGAAAACTCAACATATGCTTAATAGATTACTACAAACTGCATGATCCCTGCCCCCTGGCAAAAGTAAGTGTTGCAGGCCTGTGGGAGAAATTCTGAAGACTCTGCACTTATACCAGCTCAGAGCTTTGTGTTAGTGTCGTTAGCAACCAATGCTGCCGTTCTCCTGGCTCCTTTCTGTCTCCATCGACTTCGTACAGAATTGGATCCTCCCTTCATTTCAACATCATAACTTAGACTAGTCATACAACACAGGTGTGCCTCAACACACACACAGGCAACACACGCACACATACACACGCACACATACACACACACACACACACACACACACGCACACACACACGCACACACGCACACACACACGCACACGAGAGAGAGAGAGGGGGGGAGGGAGGAGAGGAAGGAGGGAGAGGGAGGGAGAGAGTCTGAGAACAGCATGAAGCAATGCATTGCAGATAGGAAATTTTTAAAATGCCATGGCATTACTTCTTTTTTTATTTTTAAATTTAAATTTAAATTAGAAACAAGGTTGCTTCACATGTCAATTCCAGGTCCCTCTCCCTTTCCCTCCCCTCCTCCTGTGCCCTCCCACCACTACCCCCAATATCCCCTCATTTCCCCAGGGAGGGTGAGGCCCTCCATGGGGGTATCCATAGTCTGTCATTTCATCCAGGGCGGGGCCTAGACCCTCCCCCAAGAGTTCAGGGTAAGAGTGCATCTCTCATTGTTGGATGGGAGTCCAAAGTCCATTTGTATACCCGGGATAAATAATGATCTCAATAGATTACCTAGGCTCAATAGATTACCTAGGCCTCCTCACTGACACCCACATTCAAAGGGTCTTGATCAGTCCCATGCTGGATTCCCAGGCATCAGTCTGGGATTCAAGAGCTAACCTTTGTCAGGTCAGCTGTTTCTGGGGTTAAGCCAGCCCAGTCTTAATCCCTTTGGTCATTAGTCCACCCTCTTTGTCACTGGATTTCTTGAGTTCAGCTCAGTGCTTAGCCATGGGAGTCTTCCTCTGCCACCATCAGCCACTGAATGAAGGTTCTGTTTCCCAGATTCTCTGGTCATGGCTTAAAGTCTACCAGAAGAATCCCCTCCAACTAACCCTGGTCTCCAGCATTTGGTGGTCACTCTAAGTCTAAGTACACTTCCCTGCCTCTGCACAGTCCTCATTTTCCACCTCGGCTCTCTCAAACCTGCTTCTCCCCCAAGGAAGCCATAAAATCTATTAGAAAAAAAAAGGAAGTCCCTGGAGAGCGCATTAGCTTTTCTCTGCCTTAATCTGTTTCCTTTGAAACAAGCACAGCCCTCCCTATTTTACTTAATCAAAAAGTCTGTTCTGATGTCTTCCCAATCAAAAGACTAGTCTCCCTGGAAATGAGCTCTCTCTCCACCTGTAGCAGAATGGCCACAAACTCTCAGAGGATTTCAAAACCTGCAGTGTTCTTACTAAAGCAGACTGCTTGAAAAGCCGTAGATACTAATCTCATACTTTAATGCTGACGTAAAAAGGCAGGGTTCCCAAACCAACTTTCCCCTCCACCCTGTCCCCTATCATAACCAGCTGTGGAGGTAGGGAGGATCAGGGGTCCTCGGTAATTAGTGGCCCAATGCTCTTGGGTTCTAAGGCTTCTGTGCTGTTTGTTTTGTTGTTAGCCTGGGCTTCCAACGTGACTGCAGGTCCTGTCCCCGTGGGCTAGACTGAGCTGCTTCCTCTCGGCTCTGTGTTGTCCCACCCAAAACTGGTGATAACTCTTTCCACGCCGATGACAGGGATGAGCATTTGCTTGTCCAGTTTCTTCCAGTCGCCAGCATCTTGGTGTCCATGGCACCTGATACATCGTCTCAGGGCAAACTCCTGGACTCTGCAGAACTGATGCCATAGATGAGTGCTACATGTGATCACCAGGCAAAAATGGGAGCCTTGAGTGCACACAAGCCAATGACTCCACATTTGTTTGTTTGCTAAAGTGTGTGTGTGTGTGTGTGTGGTCTGTGTGTGGTGTTTATGTGTGTGTGTGTGTGTTGTGTGTGTGTGTGTTGTGTGTGTGTGTGTGGTCTGTGTGTGGTGTTTATGTGTGTGTGTTGTGTGTGTGGTGTTTATGTGTGTGTTCTGTGGTGTGTGTGTGTGTGTTGTGTGTGTGTGTTGTGTGTGTGTGTGGTGTTTACATGTGTGTGTGGTGTGTGTGTGGTGTGTGTGTGTGGTCTGTGTGTGGTGTTTATGTTTGTGGTGTTTATGTGTGTGTGTGGTGTGTATGTGTGTGTGGTATGCATGCATGTGTGGTTTGTGTGTGGTATGTATGTGGTATGTATGCTATGTATGTGTGTGTGCTATGTACGTATGCGTGTGGTGTGTATGTAGTGTGTATGTGTGTGTGGTATGTATGTTTGGTGTGTGTGTATATGTGCATATGAACATGATCTTCCTCTGTTTTCCTCTCACACACATTCCCAAGATGACTAATGTTCCTTTATCTCCCTTGGACACTGGACATTTATGTCCACCCTTACATGAGTGAAATCTTCATTTTATTTTACCTTCTTTATTTTTTTGACTTCAGATCAAAGAGGAACGATAGCCTGAATTTAATGAACTCAGAATAAATTACGACTTATTTCATGTAGAAAACAATCAGAAAGACTCACTTAACAACTTTTTTTTTAACTTGCTTTTCCTTAAGGAAACACCTTATGTCAAGGGCCATTTAGAGCACTTTCCTTACAGACACTCCCTCAATTGTCATGGTGACTTTAGGAGACAGGACTGTTACATACCCATGTCAGCTCTCATGGTGACTTTAGGAGACAGCACTGTTACATACCCATGTCAGCTCTCATGGTGACTTTGGAAAACAGCACTGTTACATACCCATGTCATAGATGGGGCAACTTGGGTGGAGACAGAAATTACAACTTGTCACAATCAGAAGTTATAGCTAGAAAGTGATACAGTTAAGCACAAGGTCAGGCAGGCCAGGGAACCCCAAACTGCTTACCACCTGGGAGACTTTTTGTCTCACTGTGAGGTCCAAATTGCCTCAATTTTAGGGTGCTCCGACATCACTTTAGTAGTCTACCCTGGAAACGACAAAATCTTCAGGTTACAACAGACATTGTAGTCCAACATGTTCCACCCAGTGAAAAATCCCTTTTGGAACTTCCCAGATGGATGGGGGTTCTCATTCAGCAATGCCTGAAACCCCAACGTAAACTGGAACTATAAACTGCTGACAGTAAACTAGAGTATACTGAAAATATGCCACAGGGCTGTTTTCTCTAAAATAGTCTCCTGGCATTTTTATATGCAAGTTTGTTTTCATAAGACTACTTTGCTTATAAAAAGTTTCACCATAATTATCTTAAGACACCTGTTTTCCTTTCTGTCTTCTTTGTGATTGATTGGCTTATATTCAGGGAAGAAAGTACAATACAAAAAAGGGGGGAAATCATTATGTCACTCATGGTTGTTTTTCCTGCCTTGGGGTTAAAAACTAAATTTATGTAGCGGCTAAGTGATCTTTGTAATATTTACAGTTAATTTCCCACATAAACTTCTAAAAGTTACTATGGTACCATTTTCTCCCAGTGGTTTTTTTTTTTAAATCTCTTTGAAATGAACTGCTGGAAAAGTTAGAACATAATAAGTTATACCAAACAGAGCAACTGCTTTGATATTCAATCCCCAATTACAATGAAAATATCAATGGCAGCTGTTCTTTAGGTGTGTTCAGGGTTTATGTTTAAGCCCCAGCAGGGGACACAATCCCAGGATCCTGTAATTTTAGAGGGATTTCTAAATGTTTTGTATTATACAAAACTTCAAACATGGTATCATGGGTAGAAGGGCAGACCACAGCTAGAGTGTAGACACTGGGGTCCGACTGCTTGAGTTACTTCCCAGGAGTCCCTCCTCGTTAGGATGTGGAGAACATTGAGTGTTCTTAGTATCATGGCCGGATTTTTAGTAACTCACCCTGCTAAGGATGTTATTTCCCTTCTCAGAAATCCTTTTAGAGATAGAAGCAGAACAGCCTGAGAAGAACCTGACAAGTTCCA